CTCCAGAGTAGGTCACAATCGCTCAGATCTGGATCCAACTCCCAAAGATCGAGTCTCGATCAACCGAATTGGTCTGAATCCACGCGATATTAATCATTGATCAACCAATCTTCCATGCGTTCCCACAGACGGCGCTAATTGAAGATACAAGAAATTCCTTCCCTCTTTCTCTCTCTAGAATTCCTGTATTTCAACCAAAAAAATATCTCCCCTTTCTTTCCATTACTTCTCCTATTTATAGATATTTACAAATGTTGATAGACTGCTAGATCTAGGACCGTTTCTCCATGAGTCCTGGTCATCTTTGATGGGCTTATGCGCGTTCGGCCCATATGGCAGTGTCTTTCTATGGGCCTGACCCCTCTGTACGGATTGAATGTCGTGTTTGCAAGTCATATCCGGCCCATATCATCTCGGGCCTCCTCAACTATATATTCTTTCTATAAAATACTTTTCTTGAATACTTTTTTCTTTTTCTGCCATCTTCAATTAATATTATATATTATTAATCTTTTAAAAAAAAAAATTTATACCCCAAATGGAGAAAAAAAAAAGGTGAAAATATTTGAAAGGTGAATTTTATGTAAGTTTTGACATAATACACATCTCTCTCTCTCTCTCATAAAGTTCATGTTCTTGAAATTTTATTGTCAAAATAGTTGGGACTTTTCTCATCAAACTTCAAGATTTAAATACATTTCAAATTAATTCTTTAAAATCACAAGCATGAAGAAAAAAAAAATGAAATTAAACTTAGAACACACAATACGAAAAGAAAAATAAAAGAAAAAATTACCATCACCATTAACATTGATGGTGTAGAATGGCTCATAAAGTTTTGATACTTCTTACCTGCTTCATGTGCTAATATTCTATTATTACATACAAAGATAATATTAAACCTTAAGTGAAAGAGAGCAAATAATTAATACAAAGTAAAAAATGAATTAAGAGAAGGAGACGTTAAATTGGGAAGAGAGAGACAAAGATATACGGAGTATTTCTATAATTGAAAGAGTAATTGTGGTATTTGAAAAAAAATAATTATTTATTTATAAAATTAAGAATATAAATATTATTTTCTTTAAAAATATAGTACAATTATAAAAAAAAATGAAGTGTGAATATCAACTCCATAAAAAAAAACATATTAAAAATCTACTAAAAATAGTTAGATTTCCCAAAACACATGAGACGAAATGGAGTAATAATTTTGCATGTACAATGATTAGTTACCATGTGCAGGATTCGAGCCATGGTTTCGTTTTTGAGGGGGCACCGCATTAAACGGTATAAAGTACTATCATAAAATAATATTTTATTAATTAACAGTCCGCAAAAAAAGAAATGCATCACAACAGTTTTTGAAATTCATATAATTTGAAAGACAATTACTGAAAATTAAATTTAAAAACATAAAATACGGAGATTAAAGGTCTATTGGTAACAAGTTCGTTCTATTTTGCATTTTCAATTTTATACGAAATATATATATATATATATATTTGTGGTGTGATTTATTTCAAAACAAGGTAACTAATTTGTTGCACAATGTCTCCTAGAAGTTTGAATTTTTTAAAAACATGGTATTTACATTATACTGGTGTATTTAACTTTGATGAGAAATATAAAAAGTTTGATTGAATTAAGGAAATGCAAATATTTGAAGAAGAATTAAAAGAAGAAGAAGAAGAGGAGTCAATATGAAAAGAACCAAAGAATTAGATTTTTTTTTTTTTTTTAAAGATTTAATCAAATAGAAATATTTCACTAACGATTGGGGAGATATTTTTGTCCGTTCCTGAGTTGAATGACAATTTAGGTTCCAATTCTCGCTTTTGTGAGTGATCTATTTCCTCTTGAGACAACATATGGAATGTATGAGCCGGTAAATTGTTCAATTATAAACATTTTGAGACCAACTGAGGCCGGTTGCCGGTAGATTTCAGAAAATTTCTATTTTCTTTTTTCCCATATAAGGAAACTAAGAGTTTACTTAAATTGTCACTTTGAAAACAGTTATTAAATTTTTTTTAAAAAAAAGCGTTTCTAGAAAACTGTCTGGCCCATTTGATATGTCACTTAGAAAACAGTACAAAAATTCTTCTTGCTTCAGTTTTCTGAAAACTGTGGCCTAACGGTATAAGGCTCATACTTCCTAAAAGAAGATCAGGGGTTCAAACCTCAGTGGAGACAGTGTGTGTCAGTCCCAACTGAAAAAAAAAAAATAAAATAAAAAAGACCTATTTTTTAAAAACTATATATATATATACATATATATATATATAGTTATCTAAAAATAAGTATTTTTTTAATTGTGTTTTCATAAAACAAGTCTAAGAAACTATAAGTCAAACAGATTCTTTTACAATTTTTATTTTTATTTTTAATTCTCCGAAAACAGAAAACTTTTCTAAAGAAACTGAACCAAACAAGTCCTAATCTTCTGAACCAGTTTGCTTTAGCTTTATATACTTCATTTCTTGTTTTTTCTGCTAATAATCACAAGCTGTGCTTGTCAGCGGGTGAAAGATGAAATTCTTCCAATTGGACCATCATGAAAATGGGAGTCCCTTTTATCAGTCACCGGTACATGTTAATTTTTTTTTATTGTAAGTGATTGCTTTTGAAAAGTCTTATGTTAGGTTAACCTAATTAATTTATATATTTAATATTTTTACGAATCATTGAAACGAATTTAGGTACTAAATTTGGTCCGAAAACAATAACTTTGTTGTCACGAAGTGGAGAGCATGGAAATAGCACCGAGAAAGTAGATTTTGGATGTCAATCGCAAAATTTAGAAATAGTTTGAGATTGCTTTCTTTTCAACTGGTTAGCAGGCTATTTAAAAAAAAAAAATTGTATTTAAATATGTTTGTTAACCATTAACAATACTTTTAAAATTTTTATTAGTTTTCAATTTTACTTAATCAATATAAACCACCATGAACCATTCTGGAACCAATTTTTTTATTTTTTTTATCACCTTGATCTTCCCGCCTTGGCTCGTGAATTGTTGGCAATTGAATGATATAGTTGGGCTGCTGGGCTCTGGTTTTCTCTATTTTGGGTTAGTAATGGGCTGCCCACTTATGACTTTTGGGTTGCACATTGTTTGGGCCATAGGTATACACTATAATTTTATGTAATTATTTTGTTATTTATATATTCTCAATCTGAAAAAAGAAAGAACTAAATTTTCTAGTTTTTACCACCAAACTACCTAAGGTCGTTGTAGAGTAGTATATTCTCTACCTTCTAATGTGGATGGTGAGAATTCAACCATGACAAATGAGTATGTGAGTTTCTTATTAGTGAAAATTCCAGCTTTTAAAACTATCTTTTTTGTGTGGTAATTGTTTTCTTATAGACAATTTTATCTTTAAATTCTTTTATAAAGACAATTTTATCATTTTTTTTTTTTTTGATAAACACGGCCATTATCAAAAATAAAAATATTTTATTAAAGGGTATTATTGTAAAATTAACAATAAAAATACTTAAAAATATATTATTATCTAAAAGTTTAAAAATCACTTTAATTATGAAAAATATTCAATTTCCTTTTCCTATCATATGGGCTAAGATTATATGCGTATTTTTTTTTCTTTTCCGCTTTTTCATTTTGGTCCAATATTTGTTCTTAGAGGTCTTCGTTTCCGTGTAGAAGCTCACTCTTTAAATTTATGTACGTTTTCTTCTTTGATACTTGCGATTCAATTCTACCACATTTACTAATGAAATTTAAAATGCAAAACAATGTTGTTTTGACATATATGATATATTCGTGCACAATTGAATTAGCATTCTGCAGTATCACAATTTCATCATACAATGTATTTTTTTTCTTTTTTATTTTATTTTATTGAAATTATTTTACATTATAAATGCTATGAGTTATGACCTCCATCTATGTGCCTCGCAATAATAACATCAGTTTGTCCATTATTCATTGAATTTTGTTAGCAATGCACAAGTATTTTAATTTGTACATCAAAATCATATGAATATACACATCTGGTAAATATGACAATCATAAGAGGACCACTCATTCAAGGAAATATTTGAGGGTTTTTTTTTTTTTTTTTAGAGTGCATGTATCAATTCCACAACACATGTAATGGAGTGCGGTTAAAAAACGAGATCTCAAGGGCTTATCTCTCAGATCCCTGCCAACTATAAAGATCAGCTTTGATCGATAATCAACTAATTCGATGATAAGATACCCCAGGTAAATATTTATTATTTATATGTTCTTAAAATAGGTAACCATAAAAAAAAAAAATATTTTTTATTTTAAAAAATAATTTTTTAAGAAAATTTTATAAACTTACAATTATGCTCTTTATACTATTAAAGCTTAAAATCAAACTCCCTAAAATTTTTCTTACTAATCAACCATAGTAGGGACTCGTCTTTTATATCTATACTATTACATTATTGAAAGTACAAGTATTTCAATTTCAATTTTAATTTTAATGAAGCAAAATCACTAATTTTAATTTTAATTAAAATAAAATAAAAATTGAGTTTCGAATTTTAAATTTTTCTACTAATTCAATTGAGCAAATTTAAAATTCTTCTATTCATTTAAAATTATATTAATATTTAAGGAAATTTAGTTAGAGAAGAAAATATATAACATTAAAAAAATTTAGTTAATAATAATAGAGGTAGTAGGAAACATTGGAATTCAATAAAAAAGAATTCTAATTAGTGAAGAAAGTATATAGTATTAAAAAAATTAATTAGAGAAGGGAATATATTAATATTTATTTAGTTGATATTAATATAGGTATTAGAATACATTAGAATTCAATAAAAAAAGAATTTTAATTGAAAAAGGAAATATATAGTATTAAAAATTTAATTACAGAAGGAAAGAATATATTTATTTATGTTTTACTCCTATATATAAATAATATATATATAGACACATGTACATACAAAAAGATACATGCTGACATGCATACAATAAGAAGAGAGATTAAGAAAAGATGCCGACGGCGCCGAGGGAATCAGTTGGAACCGCCGGCAACGGTGCAATCGTAGCGGGGTTGGCTATGGCTTTGGCGGCATGGCCGTGCTTCGAGTGATCACGGTTTTACAGTGAGCATGTCAAGCCCAAACTAAGGGACGAAGTCGAATCTGTTGCCATATCTGATCTACAATCCCTCCTTGACAGCTCCAGCTCCACTGCTGGAAGGCTCGTCTTCGTTCGCGGTATAGTTGAGGCCAAGTCCGCCGATCATTACTGTATTTCCTTGTCCGGCAAGGCAGCTGTTGCGATTCATAGAACTTTCTATGTACGTATGTGTACTTATCTAATTTTAAACAATATTGTTGCATATATCTTCATGTTAATTATAAATACTATTATTATACATAGATTGTGTGATTCTATATAATTAATATATATATATACACACAGAGTAATGACAAATTCTACTAATTTTATGTTAATAGGGCTGATGTGATAATGATGTAAACATACATACAGGATAATGTAGGAGTTTTTTTTTTTTTTTGGTTAACTGGTAAGCCGTAATGTAGGAGTCTAGTTTTGAATTGTTTCACATTAATGTGCCTGGCCTTAAAAGCTCCAAATTTGAGTTTTGGCACTAAGCCAAAATCTCTGTGGGAAACAAAATCCTCTCCTCTCCAACGCTGTAGAAGTTTTGATAAGTCAGAACAAAATTCACCCCATTAAGTTACTTATTATACAAATACATAAATAAATATATCTTGGTACATCCAACTTTCTCCTTATTACTTTGGAATACATGTTAGAAAAATATTGAGAAGTCGACTTTGTATCACAACAATTTTTTAATGTGCATCTCAACTTTCTCCTTTTTCTATATGTATATACAAAAGTTTCGTTTTTTTACAGTCCTTCGAGCCGGTGGCGTTCACCACGTCACTACCCAAACAAGCCAGAACAAAATTCACCCCATTAAGTTACTTTTTATATAAATACATAAATAAATATATCTTGGTACATCCAACTTTTTCCTTATTGTACATCTCAACTTTTTCGTTATTTTGGGATAAATGTTAGGAAAATGTTGGGAAGTTGGCTTTGCATCACAACATTTTCCTAACGTACATCTCAACTTTCTCCTTATTCTGTATGTATATACAAAAGTTTTGTTTTTTTAATTTTTAACTTTCACCATTTTAACTCGCCGGCTCGGACAGGTCCTCCTATAGCGCAGGAGAGGATTTTGTTCCTTCAATGACAGTCTACTTTTCTTTAATTGAAATTCCCTTTTAGTTCTCTTTGGTAACAAAAGAGAAGGAAAAAAAAGGCGCATAGATAAATATAGTTTGTATTATTTTATTATCATGCATTTTAATCTTTTTATTTTCGTTGAATACATTTGAATCTTTTTAAATCCGTACCTTCACTGATTATTGTGCTATTTTCCTCTCCATATAGAAGTACTTCTCTAAAGATTGGAGAGACTTATTTCTGCCAATTTCTGAATTAAGCACACGCATGGAGGAATTTCATAAAAAACGTTGTTGGGTTCCATTTAAAAAGGTATGTTCGTAATTCCACTGTTGAAATCCTCTTTGTATTTTTTTTTTCCCTATTTGATACCCCTCCCTCTCTCACTACAAGGAATTATTTGCACCCAAGAGTAGTTAAACCTTAGACTTGATACTGCAAAAATTACTAATTTGAGATTTATTAGACATATGATGAAATAGAAAAACTCTTGTAACTTCTGCACATGTTTGGCCTACTAGATAGTCCATATATGTTGCCTAGTAACCAACAGGTCAATGGCCTTGCGGTATCCGCCTCTTACTTTCTAAAGAGAGATCAAGGGTTTAAGTTTTAAAAAAGACATGTGTGTGTAAGTACCAATTAAAAAAAAAAAATGTTGCTTCTTATATTTATAGTACATATATACAGAAGTATTATTTGGACACTCCAAAGGCATTCTAAAATATGTAAATATCTGGTGAATGGAACATACTGCCTTTCATATTTGATTAATTTTGTGTACCTGGTTTTGGTTCCAACTTTTATGCAGGTCCCTTTTATTCTTGTTGAAGGTCGTCAAAAGCCTCCTTTGGATTACATTGTTGTGAAGCTGGATTTCATGTCAGGTTCCTATCCTCACATTTTGAGTGATGTAATACCTCTTGAGATAACCTATGGAACGTGTGAGCCGGTCAACCGTTTGATTACAGACATCTCGAAACCCAGTAAACATGGGTTCCCTGTACGTTTCAAAAAATTTCTATTTCCCTCTGTTTCTTTATAAGAAAACTAAGGGTATACTTGATTTGGAATTATGGAAACAGTTTTCTGTTTTCAATTTTATAGTTTTCTGAAAACTATTATCTATTTTAAAAATTTTTGAGAACTTTTTTAAAAATTGCAAACCAAACAGACCCTAATATTCTTGAGTTTTTTTTTCCCTGCTAATAATCACATGCACTCTCTCTTCCTTTGTAGGTTTGTCAGTGACGGGAAGATGAAATTCTTCCAATTGGAAAGCGTATCAGTGCAGTGGGCATGTGCTGTCGTGAAAATGGAGTTCTTGTCATTAGCCGCTATGAAGACATTGAATTTTTCTTGTAAGGGGTTGCTTTTGAAAAGTCTTATGTTAGGTTTAACAAAATTAACATTTGTGTTACTGTTCTTCGAATTGGAACTCCCGAGCGCCAATTTACGTAGCTTTATTTTAGAAATGGTTTTATGCTCTCATACTTGCTGGTATTACTTTGCTTTTGCAGGACTAATTTTAGAAGTAAGGATGAGTTGGTGGAAAAGGTTTCATCACGAAGCAGGGTTCTTCAAAACTTAGGCGCTATCTTTGGAAATTTGGGACTTGGATTCTTTACCTATACTGGTGTGAGGTATGTGTGTACATATATTCTGGTACTAATATTGAATAATAATGCCGCAAGAAACATTGAAACATTACATACATACACACATATATATATATGGATCATTGAGATGAATTTAGGTACTAAATTTGGTCCGAAAACGATTATTTTGTTGTCAGGAAGTGGAAAGCATGGAGACAACGCTGAGAACGTAGGTCCATCGTGTCTTTTCAATTTTGCTGCAATGAGGAGACGATTAGCATTGAACAAATGTGAATATGTATATTTATATAATTTTTTTAATTTAAAATTATGTTATATTCGGTAACTATTAAATTAAAAGCATTTTAATAGTTTTCAATTTTAGTTTTTATAGAGAGCTTTCAAAGCTAAATTTTTTAGCTTTCAAAACTCGTTTTGGGTAAACAGACATTAGCAATTTTGTCTTTTCAATTTTGCTGCAGAGGAGACCATTAGCATCAGCATTGGACCAATGTGAATGTATATTTATATAAATTTTAATTTTTATATAAATTTTATTTTAAAATTAGTTTAGATGTGTTTGATAATTATTAAAAATACTTTAATAATAAAAATAATTTTAAAACTATTATTATTAGTCAGATGAAAAATTACTTTAAAAAATATTAACGGCAGTTCAACTAACAAAAGCACAAATAGTCCATGCATTGCTCTTGCAGATTTTGGTAGATGAGCCGACAAACTCCCTATCTTACAGGGCCAGCCCAACATCACGCGTGAGCCCGGTTAGATTATGGGCCTTACACAGTGCAACTGGGCTTTACGCGTGAGCCCGGTTAAATCAGAATGTGGAATCATTCATGAGCAACTACAATTAATTGTAAAAGAACACTGCGCCCACTAAAAAGGTCCTACAAGAGATGTAGGGCCACTCTCATCAATGTCTTCCACATACACTACTTTTACTTCTCTTATAGGCAGAACAAAATCCAAGAATTTGGAATAGAGGGAATAGTGCTAGGAAACAGCGAATCCTCCCCAAGCAACTCACTCGCATGTAAATGAGGTTCGACAGGTTCTTCACTCCATCAGGTTTATCAAGATTGTATTGGGAGAGCATTTACGCACACACAGCAAATGCGGCCGTGAATTCACATGTTGAAGCGCATTGCATCTAGCATCTTTCCCCAGTACTGTCAAAGTTATCATGCACAACAATTAGTCACCGACTGTGTTCAGTGTTTGAAGCACTTTTGCAACACATATATAATGATTGCCTAAGACATTACTACTATGTTATTTTGAAGAGTCGTGATATTCAGGCGAACTAGTTACGCCTATTTGTCAAAGTGAAACAATTAAGGTCATTGATGACCTGAAGTGGCCATTAATGGCCAAAACTGTTTTACTTTGACCTATAGGCCTATCTAATAAGCCTTGCATACCTAAGCAGTAACATCTTTAGTTCAAATGGGGGTTGATCATGAACTAAAGCATGCTCTTCAAAGGAGTTCTTGCTCCTTTTCATTTTCTTCCTAGCTCTATGATTACTTTCTCTTTCATTCATTCTTTAAACCAAAAGCTGCTAATGTCTATGGGACATTACTTTTAGCTAAAATGATTACCATGAATGCTAGTACCATACAATTAAATCACTTTCGGATTTTTAATTAAAGCGTTTTTCTAGAGTAAATTAACATACACAAAAGCCATTTTAGCCCATTTAGAATGATGAATTTGCAAAGAAAAGTACACTTATAACACAATATTTTAGAATTCCATTTGCATTATGTAGGTACTGACCTTTTCAAAGCAGCATCCAAGTTGTCCTCTTCCTTGTAATTGAAAACCCCATCCGAACCAAACTTGTTCTTCAATAAATCAACCTTATATTCAAAATAAATAAAGACATAAATAAATAGAGATTAGTTGTTGTTTAGAATCGAATCTTGTGGACCCCCTTTTCACCCAAAATAAATAAAATCAGCAAAGACAGTTTTAGTGAAGTTAAAAAAGCATCTATAATTATGGGAGAATTGCATTAATCCGCTTGACTTTTAGCGTTTTGCAATAAACCCCATTTAATTTTTTTTTTTTTTTTTTTTTTTTACATATGCAGGGACATGATTAATTGAAATAGTGCTAATGTTGAAATAGTTTTACATTATTATGGTGGTACTATCCTTTAAATCTAATTTTCAAGAATCTTAGTTTACAAGTAGGAGATGTCTTGTATCCTTAATCGTTCATTTTTGCTTTTCAATATGATGTTTAGAGGATATACCTTTATCTTGCCACAACGATACAGATGCGTAGCAAAAGCTGAAGAACAAAGAGAGTTGAGATGAAATAGTGTGCGGACTCTTTTGTGTGATAAAGGAAGCTGCTATATTACTAGATTATTTCTTCATCTATTGGATTTATTCACTAAAGATTGCCTAGATAATGTAGGCCAACCGATGAACCATATAATACAGTCCTCTACTTTGTTCTTGTTATTAATTTCTTGTTTCTTGCATGCTTTAAAACAAAATTTCAAATATTATAATCTGATACTACAATTTTCAATTGCTGAGTAAATGATTCCCATACAAACAATTATTTTATATGGTAAAACCAATCTCAGATTTGCAATTAGAGGGACAAACATTTGTACAAATTATATAACCTATAAAAATAATTTTATTGTTCAACTATATAGATGATCACAAATTACTGAATTTAAAATTTTCTGCCCTCTTTCTTGTTGATTTGTTTTACTGCACTTGCTTAATTTCTTGTTCTATACATGTTGCAAACCAAAATTCAAAATATTTTAAGTTGGTATTTATTCTAGAGTTCTATGTGACCACCAACCATCTAAGTAAAGATCAAAAGGACATAATCCTGAAAACAGGGCCATTTCAAAAAGTGCAAGCCATTGTCACAACTGATGGCATGTCTTTTTGTAAGCAATGGATATGTAACAGAATGACTAACAAGGCGTCCAAGTCACGCCATTGGCAAAATTTTGGACTTCAATATGAAAAATAAAAGTACTGACTGTTTCAAAGCTGCAACCAAGTCATGCTCTTCTTTGTAATTGAACGCATCATCAAACCCAAACTTGTTCTTCAACAGATCAACTTTACTCAAAATAAAAGCAAAACTAACAGATTAGCTATTGTTGAGGATTGAATCATATAACCAAAATATTTTAGCTCAGACGAAATAAATCCATAAAGAATATATTTAGTGAAGCTAAAATATCTATATTTTCCTTTTGAAAATTGTCAATCTAGTTTCTATTATTCTAGAACAGGTATGTAGCAGTTACGTTAACCGCCGGCATACAAATAGCTGATGTCTATTAGGCTGACTTTTGATTGATGGATTTTAAACAAATGGATTTCAATTTGGTAATTCAGTGTTGTAGCTAGAAATTGGAATTCAACAATATCCATGGATGGTTTAACAAGGTGACAGGAGTTATTTGAAATTCATCCCATGAAACCATTCATTGCACAGAGAAGTTGGTAATTCTCCTACTACTCTTATCATTTCTCCCATCTCTCCCACTTTTACTCCAGTAGTCAATATTTGTCAATCGAATCTCAATTTCCATCATATTAAATTATCAATTCAAACAAAACCTCAATATTTTTAATGAATGAGACAGGCACAAGTTACAAGAAAAATTCGGAGTCCATGAATAGTAAAACCATGAAGTGGGAAGAGAAACACAGATGGGCTGAATATCTGAATTATATGCGGTTTTGAAATTATTTATTGAAAAATGTCAGATACCAATGTGTCAAAGACATTCAAGTATTATTGCAGGGAAAACGATTCAAGGACAATTTAGAGTTGGGAAAAAAAAAAAAAAAAGAAAAAAAAAAAGAAAAAAGAAAAAGACTACAACAGGGGTCATAGTACTGCAATTTATCTCATATGGAATTAACTTTCAGTTGTAAGTTTTGAATGACTATATAATATACATAACAATATGAGGATGCCCATGGTTAATGAAGACTGTCAAATATGTGACTGAAGCATTACCTTGACGATATCCAACAAAGCATCCACCAAGAAATGGCTAGTGAAAAAGATGAAATGCTACTGAGATAAGACTCGCCTTTTCTTTAGTTCTAGCACTTCCAACAACATGGCACCCCATCAACTTTGCAAACTGCTCAACGAGCTGAAAAATTGCACCAGATGCTGCAGAGACAAAGACATATTTACCTTTCTTAGGAGTACAAATCTTATAAAAACCAGCATAAACAGTCATTCCAGACATAACTAATAAGAAATAAATGCAAGAAAATTAGATGGGAAATTAGAAATATTAATGACATAACTATGAGAAAGACGTATCTAATTTTGACAATGTGATACAGATATATTTACAATTAATTAAAAGCTTAGGTCTAGTGGTATGTCCTTTACTTTTAAAGTGGAACGTTGAGCGTTCAAGTCCCATAAAGGGGCAATTGTGGGAGCATGAGTGTGACATACTTGTCAAAAAAAGAAAGAAGAAAATAATATATTTAATGGGTACTATTAATGTACCAAAAGTAAATTGAGGACTAAAATCATTGGAACAATGAAAAAAGGGGAGGTCCTCAAGTAAGCTAACCTCCAACACCACTCTATTTCAGACTTCTAAAAGGGAGTTGCAACATGGTCAAGTTTTAAATTTCAAATGCCACCAATGCAACTAATGCTAACAATTCAACATATTGACCATGTCCAAACTGACAATTAAAACAAGATCTGTACCCATATATACAGATAACTAGGCCTTCTCTTGTACCCCTCTACCTGTCCAAGGCACAAGATCTGTATCCAAACTGACAATAACTAGGAAATCATCAACCGATCAGGGTTTTCAAGTTAAAATGAAAATTCCACCTTCAATGGCGACTAGTTTCGTTATATCTTATAAGCATAATTACCATAACCTAATACATACCATGAAAAGTCTGCTAGACCCTGCCTCGAATCAGTTATCCAAATCATTTTCTTTCTATTCTACAATTTTACACAATTATTTCACAACAATTAAGAGAATGATAGTTCCATTTTTCATTTTGTTAGATGATATATTTTTTGCCCTTAACAATTTTAAGTTAACAGAGTAGGAAAAACCTAAAAATTTCACAAGGTGCTGCATAAAAGTGAAAAAAAAATAAAAAAATTAAGCTACTAAAATGTCTCGCCTTTTAGATTGAAACAAATACGAATAGGAAAAAGAACAAGGCTGTAAAATTAATCCAATAATTTACTCATCAAGGTGCCCCACAACATATGCAGAAACTGAACAGTGAGACAGTTCCTGAGAAGGTAAAAAAGAAACAATAAGATAATGGGGAAGGACAAATACAAAAGTATCTATCTTCTTTCTATATCTCCATCAATGGAAATTGCCCAAGCAAAAAACATTTATATATATGCACGCGTGTGTAAATAAAAATGGGAAACAAAGAAGAAGAGGAAGAAAGAAGTACAAGACGAGAAAATAATTACTGAGTTGTTGCAATCTTATTTTTATTTGTAGCAATGGTCCTCCAGACTTGGTAAATCAGTCTTCTGGTTCAATAGTTAGTTTCTTCTAGTCATGATTTTTAAAGTTTTGACAATACGTCTTGATTAGAAAGAAGAAAAAACAAAGAAAAAGAGAAGGAAAGTAGTAGTACAAGAAAAGAGAGGATATTTACTGAGTTGTTGCAATTTGTCGGATGAAATGTGTGCCTGTCCCATAAAAAATAAAAGATCAATTGAAATTGAAGGATAATGAACAAGAGAGAAGAATAAGATGATAAAAAAATCAATTGAACGTCAATGAAGAAAAGAGAAGAATAAGATGGAGTTTAAACTTTAGTGGTTTTAAAAAATTCAGAATAGATACCAATTTACCTTGTATGTCATTGTTCTGGTTTAATAGATCAATACATTTGGGATGTGAGCAATCTTTGGTCAATCTTCCGCTCTCTTTTTTTCAGCAATCTATCAAGAAATATTTTGGCACACCGTTCACTCTTTTGTTCAAAGATGAGTTGTAGTGCACCACGTTCAGCACGCTGATGTATTCCATCTGGCAGCGATGTCAATTCGGGGTGGTTGCCAATAATGGAAAGTTGTTGGAGTGATGAGAGGTTGCCTATCCACTCGGGCAAAACCGTCAAATTCTCACAGAATTCAATATATAGTTGTTGCAGAGTGGTAACATGTTCAAGCCCCGCAGGAAGAGATACCAACTTCGGAACAGTTTGGATTTTGAGATCCGTCAGGTACTTGAGGCCTTGAAATTGCAAGCCGTCATCCTTGTCTAACAGATCAAGCATTTCGCAGACCTTGATAGACAAGGAATGGAGGGCGGTGAGATGTGGCAGTCCTTCTGACAGAGAGGTTAGATTTTCACAACCATAAATCTTAAGCTTCTGGAGAGAAGTGAGGCTTCGAAACGACTCCTTAGGCAGAGTAACCAGATCATCAATGTCAGATAAAGATAGACACTTTAATTTGGAAAGAGGAAGAAGCGAAGAAGAAGAAGAAGAAGAAGAAGAAGAGGACGAGGTTGCGAGTGTTGTTGGGGTCACCGTCATCATTAACAGTTGTTGCACTAGCTTCTCGCCGACCGCATCGAGTTTTAGGGTTTCAAGACATGGTTGCAGAAAAGGCACCGATTTCAGATTGGGGCACCCAGCGATGATTGATTGGGAAAGAGAAGGAAATGACGATAAAATTAGCTGATGATGATGTTGGTGTTGGGCTGGTGAACAAGTTGTGGTTGCTGTTGCTTCGCTCCTCCGCCATCCCTTCAATTTAGGCAAATAACTGAATTCGAGTTCTTTGAGAGATGGGAAGGATGTTGTTGCTTCGTCACCTATGTACTCCAAGGATTCCATGCGATCAAGCATAAGAAATTGGAGAGAAGGAAGTTGCCCAAATGGTGCAAGATGTTTCCATGAGGGACACTCGGATATATGAATTGTGACGAGATTTGGGAATGATAGAAGCTGTTGTTGCTGTTGGGCTGCTCCTTCTTCTGCTTCGCTCCTCCACCATCCCTTCAAATTATCCAATTTAGAGAGTCGGAGTTCTTTCAGCGAAGGGAAGGATGTTGATGTTGCTGATGAAGAGAGGCAGTCATTGCCAGTATGCATGTCTATGTCTATGTACTCCAAGGATCCCATGAATTCAACACTAAGAAATTGGAGAGAAGGAAGTTCCCCAAATGGTGGAAGATGTTTACATCGGTCACAGAGGGACATATAAATTCGGACTAGACTTGGAAGGGATAAGCCAATTTCGCCAACCATCATCCAACTTGGGTAACTCACTCCTCCATAATTCCCTATTTGCAGCTCCTTTAAATTTGGGTGTGGACGTAGGGCTTCCAACAATAACTCCTCCCCATCATTTAATCGCAGGGACTTGAGGTATTTTGTGGTCCTCAAGTAGTTTGCCCCCTCAATTATTCCCTGTGCTGTTGCTTTTGGTAACCACCTGTGGCCAGATGAATCCCTACTACGTCGAAGTTCAATTCTTAACCTTCCCCGTAGATTGCTTAGACTCTGCAATTCACTCAGTCGGCTTTTTGAATCCGTTGCAAACAATGTTAACGTCATAAGAGACGTCAACTCACCCAATCCATGCGGCATGTTTCTCAAGGAAACACAGTCGTCAAGCTCAAGATGTCTAAGGCCGACCAATCTTTTAAAATCTCTTGGCAATTCTTCAAGCCTCCAGCACCGATTGAGTTTTAAGGTTTGCAAATTTTGTAACATGGTTATTGAACTTGGCAAAGTCTTGATAAGTGCATTTCTGTCTAGATCAAGATACCTTAAATGCTTCATCTTGCTTATGTAACTCGGCACAATCTTAATATTTGCCGAATGCAAATCCAATACACGAAACCTTTTAAAATTCCCTTCATGAATTAATTTATCAAAAAATCCAACTTCTTCACCATTCCCAATTAATGTCCGTAACTTTTTAGCTCTAACCAATTGGGTTGAAATTTTTTGTGATGAATTTACACCGTAATCAACTGACACATGCCGAGTTCTTTCCGTAACATTTTCTACATATGAATTCACCGTGAAAAATCTGGACCTCCCAACTGAGAGTGCAAGGTCGTGGACAAAATCATGCATTTTGCAACTTATTATATCACCCCAATTATCTATTTCCACATCTTGAAAAAGGGACCTCCTCAGTAAATTCATAAAATATGAATTACCAACATCCTCCAACGATTGATTTTCAGCCTGAATGAATCCCTCTGCAATCCACAATTTGATTAACTCTTGTTTATCAATTTTTTGATCTTTCAAATATAAGGAACAAAATGCAAAACATCTCTTCAGCTCCGAAGGAAGGTAATCATAACTGAATTTTAGTATTGGAAAAATAACATCATCTTTTTCAACTATTTTTGACAAATCATTCTTTTTAAAAAGCAACCACTCATCATCTGTATCTCTAGTATACAGTAGGCTTCCGATAGCCCTTATGGCAAGAGGGACTCCCTTACACTTCTGGACAATTTCCTTGCCGATTGTTACTTGAATTGTATTCACTGACTTTTTATCTTGTTTAAATGCCATTTTCTCAAATAAACACCATGACTCCTCCTCAGACAAGCCTTTTACAAAAAATAGTGAATTTGTCCCTGAAGCATTTGCAACCAACTCGGCCCGTGTAGTTAGTAAAATTTTACTTCCTCTTGAACCACCCATCATCAAATCTATCAATTTTAACCATTTGTCACGATTCTCATTCCACACATCATCCAACACAAGTAAAAATTTCTTTTCAGTAATTTTTTCACTAAGCTTTTCTTGCAATTTATCCATCAAAAGGTTTTCTGGTGTTTTGCCTGTTGCAGACTCTATGATCTTTTCTGTGATGAGTTTCACATCAAAAATGTCAGAAACACACACCCACATCTTAAGTTCAAAATGTTTAGTGACCCTCTCGTCGTTGTATACTAACTGTGCAAGTGTGGTCTTTCCTAGTCCCCCAATTCCAACTAATGAAACAACTGACACATTTTGATCTTGAATGTTGCTTTCCAATAAAAGTTGTATGATTTCCATTTTATCACTATCCCTCCCAATAACATTTTCTGCATGAACAAGAGAGTGAGTCTCCTCCCTCTTATTACTCTCAATTCGCTGCTGATTTAGAAGTCGTTCAGTGAGGTGAAACTTTTTCTTATCTTCTGCAATTGCATCTAGTCTCTCCCTAACGGCCTTGATGTCATGAGCCAACTTACTACTGAAAATAAGCTGATTTGAGCTTGAGAAGAAATTGCGTACCTTCTTTGGCCTTTTGTTCCGAGTCATAACCTGGCGTTGGAGAACACGGGTGGAGAAGTCATCGAGCACGTCATCAGCATCATAAAATGCATCGTTGAGCTTCTCGAGCCAGTCTGCAACCTCTTTGCTTGTGTCTTGCTTCTCCTCTGCATCAGCAAGAACAGCTCCGATTGTGGAAACCGTGTTTCTGAGTTTGACAAGTTCATCCTTCATCCCCCACACAAGTCCCATCTCTTGGAGAAGGGTGGAACCCAACTTCTTGACAATTTCACTCGCAAGTGCTTGTGCCATTTCTTTGGAATAGATGCTGAATAGTTTCTTTGTGCAGCGGTAGAATGAGGCCTCGATGAAATTGAAAGGATTGAGAAAACTGAATGCTAAAAGAATGAAGTAAAGTTGCAGACAGAAGCATGTGAAAATTACGATGATGTTGACAAATGAGAGCCCACAAGCCATTTTTTTATTCTTCTGAAGTGGACAAGACGTGTAAGTTGGGTTCCAAGTTTCAACATTGTTACGCTACTTGTCTTCTTCAATCATTCAAATCTATCTTTATGCCAAGACTAGTCTCCTTCGACTGGGTCCTAACAGGAGAGAATTACAAAAAAAAATGAAGAGAGAAGTCAATAGACTGAAATTATGCATTTGTAAGGTTAATTAGTGTTTAAATATTCTGGAAGTTTCATGGCATGTTTCAGCACTTTCACACCAGAGTAATTTTGCAATTACTTAAGTAACATTAGAACACAACTATGTTATAAAATAAGAAACAATTATGCAATATATTTATATCAAACAATAGCATATTATTATTTCGTTATTTGCATAACACTTTAAAAAAAATAAATTAATACATTTATATATTTGTTACATTATTAAATTAAAATTATTATATTAATAATTTAATATTATTGCATTCACAATGTAAAATAATTGCATTAGGTACTACATAAATTCCTGACGAAAATGACACTATACATCCTGATTACTTTGATATTGTTCATAAAAAATAATAGTTAAATCTATTTGTAAATTCAAGAAAAAAAATATATATTTTTTTTCATTTTTTAACCCAAAAAAATGTGTTGCAATCATTTTTAGCATTATTATGTACTAGTTTCTTTGTGCATATATTTTTTTTTTCATTTTTTTAACCAAAAAAAATGTGTTGCATCATTTTTAGCATTATTATGTACTAGTTTCTTTGTGCATATATTTTTTTTTTCATTTTTTTAACCAAAAAAAATATGTTGCATCATTTTTAGCATGATTATGTACTAGTTTCTTCGTGCTGCTGTAGAGTAGGCCCCTCAAAATTTAAGATTGAGAAACTCAATATTCAATTCCCTTGACAAAATTGATTGAAAGCTAAAAGAAAGAATAATTGGTTCACAGCTGGTGTAGTGGTGTGTAATTATGTACATTGGCCGACAAAAGCATGTGAAAAGTCTCCTCAACTGGGTATTGGTCCACACACGACTCATGGAAGAAGACAAAAACAATTCATATTTATTTGGTCCAGGAATACATAATCTTGCCAAACACAACCTGATATTTAAGTAAAAAATTAAATAAAATTAATATATTTAGTTATTTGTTAAGTTGTGTGATTGGTTGAGCTTTCTGGATTATATAATAATTTGTTAGCCTGATCTCCAACGGGGACACCCAAAAATCACATACATACTCATATGGTTTCAACAGTCACAGCACAAACCTCTTAGGCCTCACACCACAAACTCTCCTTTCAGAATAAAAGATTTTTCAGAAGGGCATTTTCGGAATAAGTTATGAACGGTCACTTACTGGCATTTAACTCTTAATTTAGTGGCTATTTAACTTTGTGTTCGCTATTTTATTATATATGGTGGCTAAAATATATATTTTTTAAAATTTTTAATTTTATCAAACAAAAAAGTCCACTTACAGAAAATATTAAGTGATCTTTAGGTCACTTAAAATTAAGCTCTAAAAATTTTTTATACTTTATTTTCAATTTTAGTGAGTTTTGGAAGTTCGTTGTTAAATTAAGCACTTAATAGTAATAATAATAATATTATTATTACTATCCATATATGCATATATCCCCATAAATATATATATACAACTATCTATAGGTAAATATTCATACCCATAAAACCTCCTACCAAATAGTCCATGTGACCCAAAACCCAAATGCTTGGTCTATTACTACTATCTATATCCAATTCCTTTTAAACCAAAATAAAATTAACAAACAATTAAACATTTAAGGTAGCACATAATTTCAAACAAATACACAAGTAATCACATAGAACATATCACACAAATAATATACACACAACACATCAACTAATTAAATTATTTAGGCATATAACAGATAAATACATCGCCACATAAGTAAATAGCCACATAATTAATTAAAATACAATAAAATAATTAATTAAATCCTATTTATATCATTTTGAAAATTAGGGGAATTATATTTTACCTCATGAATTTTGCAAATAGGCTCTCATATTTGATTTTCAAAAATTATAATTGTTTCCTTCAAATAAAGGATCGCTTTGATTAGAACTACCTTCTATTAATGCATATGAAAACAAAAATTTGAAAACAATCAAAACCTCTGATACTAATTTGTGAGTTTATACGGCGGGAGATTATAAAATTTTGTATTTTTAGAAACAGATATGTGTCTTTCTAACTTTACTTATTTTTGTAATTAATCAATTAATCTTACTTAAGATAAAATAAAGCAAAGTAATAGATTTAGGATGACACTAGTATTTTTAACGAGAAAACCCCAATTCGTAAAATACGTGAATAAAATCTCGTGGACTCTGCAGCCCGAAGTAAACTGATCCACTATATTTGAAACAAAGTATAATGGATTTTGACTTAGGTTCACACCGTATTGTTCTACCAAACACCAATAGTTGACAATCATCTGGCTTTGTGACGTCCGTCTAACAACACTTGACCTCAGACTTACTCTTATTCTCTGTAGAAGGATCGCTCGTAGATCAAACAACACTCCTCGAATGCTTTGACCATTTCAAAGTGTAATCACTTCACCTCTATTCTTCAATATCTAAATTTGTAAAAGAAGTAGATCTGTTTTTTTTTTTTCTTCTCATTGTTGTAGATGTAAGACTTTGATCACGATTAGGATTTGAACAACACTTTAAACTTACTCTTGTTTTTATGTGTGTGGTCTAAAAAGAATGATAGAAAAATTAACTTTGACTTTCTGCAAAAATATCTTTCTAAGGGTTTTAATAAATCTGAAGTTGCAATGAAAAAGCCGTACAAACTTAGATGAAAATTAAAGTTTATATAGAATATTCAAAGACCTAAACATGCATAAGAAAAGGAAAATTTTGTGCATAGGACTTTTGGTAGTATTCTAAACCAACTAAGAAGTTTTAAACAGAACAGGAAACTAGAATCCTAAACTGTATCAGCAGTTGGTACCGGTAGCCATGTTTGGAACGGGTTCCCAAATGATAGAACTTAATCTTCGTAGGTAAGGTTCTTGAACCGGTTCCCAAACTTGGTACCAATTCTCACTTGATAGAATTCTAGAAAACTTGAAAAACCTTGTTTTTGGTAACTTGAAGAATATACCATATAGGTATAGTGTCGTTAGTGGGAAATAACTTCATAAAGTGTTGTTCTTTCATTTTTTATAAATCTCAGTATAAACAACCTTTCAATTTTGAAGCCGATCTTAATCTTGATATGGTAATTTAAAATTACAACTCGATCAAACTTGCTTTGACATCGAAATTTATCAATTATAAAAATGATATCACTTAGAACGAGGCCCTGAAGAAATTGAATGCTAAAAGAATGAAGTAAAGTAGCAGACATAAGCGAGTGAAAATTAAGATGTTAATGACAAATGAGAGCCCACAAGCCATTTTTTTCTTTTTCTAAAGTTGACAAGTCGCGTAAATTGGGTTCCCAAGGTTCAACATTGTTATGCTACCTTGTCTTCTTCAATCATTCAATCCTATCTTTATGCCAATACTATCTTTATGCCAATACTAGTCTTCTTCAACTGGGTCCTAATAGGAGAGAATTACAAAAAGACTTGAGTTCTCACTAAATAGAAGACTAAATGAAGAGAGAAGTCAATAGACTGAAATTATGCATTTGTAAGGTTAATTACTGTTCAAATAATCCTGGACTAGATACTTAGTTGTTCTTCCTCATGTAAGGGTAATTAATGTTCAAATTATTCACAACTTAAAACAACAGACACTTCTATTTGGGTGTCATGACAGCGTTCGACGCTCCAACACTAAGCATGGAACATGATGAAAATTGTATATTAGACACTGAAATTTAATTTATTTTTGAGTGGTTAAACACTATTGTGGCAAGACATAAACATAACTAGAACACAATATTGACATGTTTCAACACTTTCACAGCAGAGTAATTTTGTAATTAGTGTCCTAGTGCAATTAGCTACCTAACAACACAACTACATTACAATATGAGTAACAATTATGCAAAACATTTATATTCAATATATTTATATCAAAGACATAACTCTTATTTAACGTACTCTTATTTAACGTATTATCTCGTTGTACGCATAACACCATTAAAATAATGAATTAATACATTTATATATTTATTTAATTATTAATTTAAAATTATTAAATTAACAATTTAATGTTATTGCATTTACAGTATAAAATAATTGCATTAGTTACTACATAAATGCAGGACGAAAATGACACGCTATACATCCTGATTCCTTTGATATTGTTCATAAAAAATAATATTTAAATCTATTTATATATTTAAGAAAACAAAGATTTGTTCACAACAAACGGTTTTCTTTGAATTCACGAAGTAATACTTCAGATTTTTTTGAATGCACAAAATAAGAGATAAATTCATAAAAAATATGAAATATTATTAATAAAAATGTTAAAATATACTATTGCAGTACATGCATATTTATAATAGAGAAACCCTAATGCTATAAGGAAACTAATTTCTAAGGAAATAAAAACATAAAGGTAACATATTAATAAAAAAAATTAAAAATATAAAGATATTATTTAAAATTCAAATTCTTCTAAAATTTATAAAATAAAAATAAATAAAAAAACTTAATTAAAAAAAGTACTAAAATTTGTCCAACTTCAGTTGCATTGTTAGCGTTATTATGTACTAGTTTCTCTGTGCAACTGTAGAATAAGCCCCTCAGAAAATTTAAGATTCAAAAGCTCAATAATTCAAGGGAAAATTTAAAAAAATTCTACTTAATTATGTATATTTTAAAATTATGCCAACTTTTTCAAACTATTAAGTTTGATGGCCAACTTTATCAAACTAATTACAAAAATATCTTTGAGTTTTTCAAGTTCATCCTTCATGCCCCCACACTAGTCGCAACTCTTGGAGAAGGGCGGAACCCAACTTCTTGACAATTTCAGTGAGAAGTGCTTATG